CTGAAATCTTTTTTTTTTTTTTTTTTTTTTTACATTAATGTGATGTTGTTACTAAGAGTCTTTCTTCCTCGGAATAAGTATTCATCCCGACCGGCCTTGTCGGGATAGAGAATCGCAGTCAAGCTAAAGGTAAATCGTGGGGCACGTGATGGGAATCCTTAAGGTGTTTCTTTCTTCGGTATCTAGACTGAAACCTGGCCCAAATACACCTGCATTTACTCTGGAGAACCTATCTATCTTTGTACAGTAAGTGCACGTGTATTTTTGGAACAGGTTTCAGTCTAGATACATCGATAATGACTGTGCGTTCTATTGGGGGAAAGACGGTAATCGACCTGGACCGTTCCGCCTGCGGAGGTAGGTATCCCGACTTCCTCACGTGTTTTCTCCTTGGGCCTTCGCTCAGCCAGTTTTCAAATGTGAAAAAAACAATAAAAAAAAAGAAAAACATGGCGGATGTATGTTTCCAGTTTCTAGCTGAAGATACACCCGCCATTTCAATCTTTTTTTTTTTTTTTTTTTTTTTTTTTTTTTATTTCACGTATTTTTTCGTGAGTGGTGGGGCGAGGCCTTTCTTCTTGGGCCTCGCTCGATCACTCGTCAATTCTGAAACAAAAAAAAAGGTGAAATGGTGAAAAAGGGTAGAATGGTGAGAATGTATCTTTCCACATTCTAGCGGTAGGTTCATCTTGGCATTATACACTTTTGGTAAGAGTATCCTTCCACCTTGTAGCGGAAGGTTCACTCGGCATTTAAAAGCAAGAACCCATTCGAACGTCACAACTCAAAAGCAAGGAATTGGTGACAGCGTAAAAAAGAAAAGAAAAGAAAAAAAAAAGCTTCTAATACCATTGCGTAACCACAAGGAAGTCTCTCTCTCCCAGCCGAAAGGTTCACTCTTGGTGCGTGTATCTTTCCACCTTTTAGCGGAAGGTTCACTCGGCATTTTACCCATTCCGTGAGTTGGGAGCCGAGGTTCTTTCTCTTTCTTTCTCTTTCTTTCTCTTTCTTTCTCTTTGGGCCTCGCCACACCTCTCTCGAAATGTGAAAAAGACAAAAATGTGGCGCGCGCATCTGGTCATGTTCTAGCCGGAAGTTCATTCTCATTTTGCACATTTCGAGAGTGGTGTGGCGATGCCCTTTCTTCCGTGCTCTATCTCCTCCGTGTACACGACCGGGTAGCTCTGTTTGACGCCATCCTCAGCGTGCCTGTCCTATCTGCCGGGGTTGGGTGGGGGCTCCTCTTCCTCTTCCTAACTGGTCTCAAAAAAAGAAAAAGAATCAAGCGATCAGGAGCAACACGAATTATAGGACAGATAAAAGAAAGAAAGAAAGAAAGAAAAGTACAAATTTCTGGAGAAAAGAAAAAAGAAAACAAGAAAAAAGAAGAAAAGGAAAAAAAAATGTTGAACTTCGTAGTGACAGTGGCAATTGGTTTATCTGTGGGATTTGTGTCATTTGCTTTCGTCCTTTCTCTTTCTCTTGCCTCTGTGAGGTCTGGTTTCCTCCTCCTCCTCCTTTACTTCTTTACCTCTTTTTTTGTCTTTTGGCTGCGTGCAAGTGGGTCCTTGTGACACACGGGGATGGATGGGGGCAGGCAGCGCTCAAACTGTCATCCACGTGGCGGACATGAAACCACGTGACTCCACAGTGTGACAAAATATACAATGCATGCGCTGGCGTACGTATACAGCACGTGTACGTATGCAATGCATGTGACATTATATACACGTATACACTGCATGCGCATGCATTGTATACGTACAAGCGATGGATGAGTCGGCGAAACTCCGACGACGAAACAGTATTTTTGTCATAGCCCCTCGTTAGGTTGTTTGTTTGTTTGTTGTTGTCCACTTCTCCCTCCCTCCCTCTCTGCCTACGGTTTACCGGGCAGCTCTGTTTGACTCTATATCTATATCTAAATCTATATATATTCTGAAATATATTTATATGTACATATGTCACTCACAGAGATCGGCTCTGTGAACGGCTTGCCGAAAATGAAGAAAGGACACAAAACGATCTATCGGCTATCGGCTATCGGCTAGGTAGGCCGAAAGGGAGACAAGGGGGGCAAGAAATGATGATCAAATGATCTCAAATGACACACGCACTGCTATTCGGTTGGATCTCAAATGATCAAATCAACGTTCCTCTCCTTTTCTCACACGCGTACTTGCCTATCGCTATGCTCTTTCTCCACTTCTCTCTCTCTCTCTCTCTCTCTCTCGCCCATTCTCTCGCTTTGGCTGTGACACGTTCTTCAGGGGTCATATGACACAGTCCTGTTCTTCCTCCTTTGCTCTCTTCTATTCTCTCCTTTTTTCGCTCTCCTATTCTACCCCCCCGCCCTATGCTCCCTCTCCCCTATTCTTCTCCCTCTTCTCTTCTCTCCTCTCTCCTGTTCTCTGTCCTATTCTCCCCTTCTCCTATTCTCCCCCTCTCCTATGCTCCCTCTCTCCTATTCTCTCTTCTGCTTCTTCTTCCCACCCCTGCTCGTCTGCCTTCGCGATTTTCCGCCCTCTCTTTTTGTCCTGTTCTCCCTTGTTCTCGCTCTCTCCCTCTCGCCTATTCTGTTTTTGTCCTGTTCTCCCTCTCTTTTTGTCCTGTTCTCCCTCTCTCCCTCTCTCCCTCTCTTCTCCCTCTCTCCTATTCTCTTTTTGTGTTGTGGTTGGCGCCGCGGTTATTCACTCTCTCTCTCTCTCCCCCCCCCCTCTCTCTCTCTCTCTCTCTCTTGTTTCGTTTCGACTCTGTCTGTAGATGTGAGACGCAGCTCTCTGTATCTCTTCTGTTTCGTTCCTCTCCCTTCGAATAATTATTCTTGTTCTTTTTTTTTTTTTTTTTTTTCCTGTTGAAACTCAAAAGATCTGCAGCACCCTCTCTGCCCTTTGTTTGTCGTTTTTTTTTTATTAAATTTATTTCGTTCTGTTCTTTTGAAACAGTTTTTCTCTGCAGTTGTGACAAGTGCGCTACGCTCAGGACCACCACCCACCTCTCCCCTTCTCTCTCCTCCTTTCCCCAAACCCACCGTGTTCACTCGAATAGAACCCCGGGTCATCGTAGCTGTATATTTGGGTGCATAACTTTCAGTCCAGATACAGCCAGCGATAATGACCGGGCGTTCTATTCGGCTGAAGACGGGAGAGGTTGGTTTCCTTGACCCCCCCCCCCCCCCCCCCC